CCCCCCAACACACAAACATAACCACATCCTCCCAACATTTTGTTCTCCACAAGCAGTTGAATAGACACATAACAATAGCCACTCCCGACCACTTTGCTTTTTTTTTTCTCTTCTCTTTTCTTTCTTATTTTTCCTTTTTTTTCTTTCTTAAAAAAAAAAAATCGACTTCAAGCCCAAAGCACTTCCACTGCGCAAACATTTGATAAGACAAAACTTCATCATCATCATCATCCAGTGCCAGATCTGCGACAGACCTCGGCGATCATATGGTTCTCAATTCATTCCTTTGCTCGGATGCTCTAAAAAAAGCTACGTTTCCCTGATCTTTTCCTGTTACCCATTTGTTTAGGTTCCCTAGGTATGTTGTTCTGGGCCTTCCCCTGCCGCGCCTGCCCTCAATTTTGCCAGAGAGAGCTAGATGTTCAAGACCCTTATGTCTATTTATGTGTCCCAAAAACTGCATTTGTCGTTTTCCAAAACTTAGACTATAAAAAAAGAAACAAAAAACAAACAAACAAAACAAAAACAAGAAACGAACAAACAACACCCCCCCCCCCAAAAAAAAAAAAAAGCCCCACCTCATTTTCTTTTTCCTGCAATCCATCCTCACCCCCTCCCCCACAAAGCAGGACCAGGGCCATTCCAAGCATTTGAAAAGTCAAAACTAAAGACTGCCCCCCACCCCACCCCGTATTTTCTCCACATGGCTAGCCCCCAAAATGGTCAGAAAACTAAAAAAGACCACCACAATCGATCAGATCCATCGTGGATGTTTCCATCGGCGGCTGTGGGAGTTACAGGTAGGCGCTGCACTACGTTATCGCACGCAGAAGATAGGAGTTCGACTCCCATGTGGAGAGAATTTTCATCGACTGTCCCATTTCTGAGAATCATATGATATGATACGTCAGTATGTCAAGTACATGTACATAGGCTAAACGTAGACATGCCCCCCCCCCCTCGTAAATCACAAACAACAACAACAACAACAACAACATTAACATCATCATCGACAAAAACAACAACAACAACAACACCACCACCACCACCACCACCACCAACAACAACAACACCAACAATAAAGGTCGAGCTATTCCAGTGACCCACCCTCCCCTTAAAATGTACAATCGGCCCTGTCTCTTGCGTGAGACGGCGAGAAGACTGACCACTGTACACCACAGGCGCCAATGGTCACAGAAGAAGGGCTTACGGGCCAGATCCGCCTCGCGAGGTCGATAAAGTTTATCGCCGTCAAACACTGACTTACTAAAACAAATCTTTCCCTGCTTTAAAGTGACACGTCTTTCATTTAACACATTCATTTACTACTGCAAACAAAGATCCCGATCTGTCCCTAGTTTCCCACACACGGGGATACCATGTTGTGTTTCGATAAACCAATGTGTTTGATACATGAAATTATTATAAGTGTGTTCCGTGTAGACTATCGGATTGAATAAAATATATTCAACTCGCAACCGCATTCTCTCAGCTATCCAGCCCACTTCGAAAAACGTTTGGTGACCCCTTTGATGAGGAATAACGTTCTTTGTTTTAGTTTTGTTTCGTTTTTAAGATAGGATAAGGCCTACATTATGTAGCAAAATATATACTAATCTAGAGTTTAGAACACATTTTGGGCTCTCAATTTAGAGAAATGGGCCAGATGAAAATACGGTAAAGAACCCAAGGGAAAAAAAAAGCTTATAACAGTGATCTTCAAGTCTCTCCCTTCCCCCCTGTCTGTCTGTCTGTCTGTCTGTCTGTCTGTCTGTCTGTCTGTCTGTCTGTCTGTCTGTCTGTCTGTCTGTCTGTCTGTCTGTCTGT